AGTAGTAGCAGTAGTAGTAGTAGGGTTTATATTCGGGATCTTTTGAGGATCTCTGGCGCTTCTCTGGTTTAGGGCTGGTGGGGTTTATATGATTGGCATCTGTGATGTAGTAGTAGGGTTGGTATTGGGATCCTTCAGGATCTTTGCGGTTTGGGCTTTGGGACTGCGGGTTTACATGAGGTAGGGTATGCTTTTGTGATTTCAGAGTGTACATAGAGCTACTTCCCAAGATTGATGAGTGTTCTCTTGTGGTTCTGTTGTGGGGATACTAGAAGGAACTTTCCTTGAAAACATAATGTATCCGAAACGGATCTACGTGTAAGGCTTCATCACCATAAGGGGTTCATAGTTGGTTCGACATGCCTGCCAGGATAGCCATTAGCTGGACTCCTTTCTTGCTTGAGATCTCCATAGAGGGAACTGTCTTGACATGGATCTTGAGAACAATCCCCATAGATGACCTACCTCGTCAAATACCAGACTCTTTCGAGAGAGAGGGTGATTTGGTATCAACCCAGGACACTGAGCCCACCATCACAGCACCACTTCTGAACCACCAATCACTAGTGCCACTTATACCACAAACCTTGACAGCCCTATTCAAGCTCGAAGCCTTTAAACTCCAGTCCATAAGGCTCTTGTCCATCGCCGTCGGGATTTGCAACCGCCTCAGAATTCTGCAAGTTACAAGGGCAGGTGCGGCACCGTGGCATAGGATAAATTTAAAATGAAACCGCAACGCAACGAAGCATATAAGGTAGAATGACATGTCTGCATTCTGCTGCTGCTTGGCTTTAATGGGTTTGAGGGCGCCCCGGCACAGCCTGGATTGCCTGGACTCGCTTTGTGCTCGGAAAACTGAGCCTAAAGCGCAAAAGCGTACTCTGAGCTTAAACCGTTGCAAGAGTTCGAACATGAAGAGATTAATCAAGACCCGAAGTGCTTTTCCTGCAATGCGAGACACGGCGTCCCACGAATTCAGTCTATGTTCAAAACAGAGCCAAACTGACACATCAAACCCCAAAGCCTATACCCTAAGCTTCTTGAACTCCTTAAAGCCTCACAAAACCCTAAACCCTAAACCTGAATCAACCCTAAACCCTATAAACCCTAAACCTGAATCAACCCTAAACCCTAAACCCGAAGATTCATGACCCAGCGGAGGCTGCAGGCGCCGAGCTGTGCAATTAGGAGGATTCTTGCGAGTACAAAATCCGAATCACAGGCCCCAAGCCGGTTTAGGGTTTCGGGTTGAAGGGTTTAGGGTTTAAGGGTTTCGGGTTTAAGGGTTTAGGGTTTAAGGGTTTAGGGTTTAAGGGTTTAGGGTTTAAGGTTTTGGAAGCTCCGACACAGTTTTTGTATGTCTTTGCTGTAAGCCCCAAGTCTGACACCCGTGAAGCCTTAGGCCCTGTATCTTGAAAGCAGCAAGCCCCAATTCAAGGGGGTCACACCCAAAATCCTCCGCGCCTGAGATCTTTAATCCTCAAAATCCGACCTTCACGCGACTTCTGGGTAGTTGGGTCATCATTATCTTGATGCCCTAGTTCATCCCTAGAAGAACGCCCAACGGGAATCATCCGTACACCATGTAGATTCTTGGGAACTTGCCATAAGCGCTATACACCTTGTAACCTATTTAAGAGGTTCCTTCATTCATGGCCTCAGAGTTGAGCCCTGGACCTAAGCCCAAAGCCTCAACCCTCTTCCGGGGTCATTCCCGAGGTCAGGATTTCAATTGGCACTCCGACTGCTACGGCGAGATCCTCTAGGCCTTCCGCCTACGCTAATGCTGCAAAAACGGCAGGAGAGTTACCGAGTAGACATTTATCCGGGCATCCGAAGCAAAACAGGCAGCAAGGCCCGCTATGACAAGTTTCAGAGGTTACTTATCTTATGGCCCTGTGGGACCGTTCTACTTGATCGTTCCTTCGAAGTTTCCTTTGGACAGAACTCTCGTTCTTGCGCCCTGTAGGCCTTTGCATTGGTTTATTGGGCTCCAGTGTTTCTGACTCAAGGTCAACAGGTTTACAGTGTAGAGTGTTGCAGAGATCCTAGCGTTCCAACTGCCAGGCTCAGCCAATATAAATTTTCGTGCTCAACTCTAAGCCTACCCAGTACCACAATCCCCAACCCCTATAGAGCTTAAAGCCCTAGACCCTAAACCCCTAAACCCTAAAACCCAATCGGAAACCCTAGAACTTAAAGCCTTGAAGCGAAAGTCGTAAACCTAAGCCCGAAACTTGAAATTCCAAGCCCAAACAAATCCTAAGCTTCAAGCTGCATATCAAAACCCCTCAATCCCTAAAGATTCTGAAGCCCGAACCCTCAGCCTTGAACGCAAACACAAGCTCCTGAGCCCTGTGGGTATTCCCTGTGGGTATTGGTAGGGAAGCTCGGCGCGCCGTAGCTTCAAGCGGTAAACCCCCGCGCGTCACTGGTGAGCGCCTCCACCCTGAAGGGTCAGTGGGCCAACACCTAGTGACGAAGAACAAACCAAGTCACCCTTGTAGTCAGTGTCTTTCCATGCTCACACCGGTCGTC